GCTGCTTGCTGCTCGCCCAGTGTTGCTGCTCTCCGCCTCATTCTCCACCACGCTCCGCTGCTCCGTCCCAGGGGTTGTGCCTGAGGTGACCCATCCGAGGGGGAGAACCCCTCCAAGGTCTCCTCCACACCCAGTTCACCCTAGGAGGTGGCAAAAATCCTGGGGAGAGAGGGGTCAAACCTACAATCTTCCCCCTTAGTGCAGTGGCCACACCTGACATTTGCTGGCGGTTGCCATCTTGGATCTTTGTTTTACACGAATAGTGTCCAACACAGCATGGTTAAAAAGAAATAAAAACTTGATTGCTATCATTCCTTCTGCAAGCCACCTGCCAAGTTGTAAATTGCTTTTTTGAGTTTGACCCACCAGGTTGCCAAAAGAGATCAATGTACTGCTAATTAGCTTGAGGTTCTAGTAGCAGTAAGATTGTCCTCACTTGTATTGGCAAACAGTAAGCTCAGGTTTATCAACCTCTAATTGGTATAAAGTGAATAGTGATGAGAAAGTAAAACAAAACAGGAGCGTTAGGTAGAAACAGGCACTGAATTAGGTTTATATGTATTTACATTGTATAAAGTATCATACTTTTCTTTTAAACTACGCAAACTATTATTCCTACTGCAAGTAATATTTACAAATGAGATTTGAAGCATGGCAAATTAATGCTATTTGAAACTTCTATATACTCACCATAGTAATTCGCTATTAGTTTAAGTTAGGAAATTATATCAGTGATTTGTTTATATCTATTTTAATGGATTGCATCTTTACTATTAGCAGCATGGATTGCTTTCAATGCTTTACATAGATTTTAAGCTATAATGATTTTTCATTAGTCTACAGCCTTAAAAAAATTAGTCAGCCTATCCCAAACTCATTAAAGTAATCAGAAATAGATAGCTAGAGTATTTCTTCCAAAACCAGATTCATTATTCATGCTTAGTTTGAGTTCAATTATATTACTTATTTTTAATGAACATTATTATATATACTGTGCATAGGATTTGGACAAAGTCCAAGTCATGTGGCAGATTAAGGTAATTGAGTTGTAACCCACCTGTCCTAATTCAAAACCATCTGGCCTCAATTTGTCATTCTGGAGGACAACCATGCCACACCAAAAACTATGATTTTTTAAAGCAAACTTTTAGTCATCTGTATAAAATGAATTGGGGAGGGGAGAAGGGGTGAAGAGAGTGTCATTGAATTGTGTCCCCAGTTCAGAGGGATCCTTGCAATCAGATCACCTTGTATTGCTCCAATTGCATCGTATTGGAAGGATGACAAAATCCTGGGGAGATGAAGAAGAGAAACCATATTGAGATATTGGGTGGGTAATGCATGACCAGCCAAGGAGACTGAGGAAGGAAAGAATAAGAACAAATCTCAGTTCAGTCCTGGGCATTAAGAGTTGTAAGGCATATTGAATATGCAGCAGACTTGATCTAAACAAGTAGTTTCTGAGGTCCAGAGATGAAAATCAAAAATACAGTAAAAGTGTCCATCATGGTTTGCAATGGACCTGGACAAAAGCTTTATGTCTGGTTTGGGAAACACTAAGGTTGCTCCCTTCCTACAAATTTATACTCTACCATCTTTGGGAGAACTTAGCTCTTGGAACAGAGAAAATATTAGAGATAGGATTTTTGAAAGGGATGGCAATAAAGATGACACTGCAGTACAATTATTCAAAATTTCATCTTGGTACCATCACTATAAAAAAACATAGAAGTACGTGGTTAATATTAGCAGTGCTTCACTGAGAAGGGCTTTAACATCTCATCAAACAATGTCTCTGTCCTTGCGTTTTTCAAGTGGGGGACATTATGTTCTCCATTGCTCCATTTACAATGAGATCAGGGCCAAATTATTGATGGTAGGTGAACTCAAGGGCTCAAGCCTTGAACAATTGAACTATCTTCTTGCAGATGTGTTTCCAACTATTAGCAACCAGGTTGCTACTTTGTTCTACTGTCATTTAAACTTAGAAAGTAAGTTACTTAAATTCTTAGTTGTAGCTCTGGCTTTATCTTGTTTTACCCTTCTTACATACCCTTTTTATTATTTCATTTCAGTTTTACTATTCTACTATTACTTTATTGCATTTTATGGTATGCTATATGTTATGACCCGTGGTTACAACAATAAACTAACTTACTTCCACTAGGGTTGCTGTTGCCAGAAGATTTAGCTAAGATAGAATCAGAGTGGCATTTAAAAGATAAATTTCCTAGGCAATGGACTAATCTATTTCTACTCTAAAGAAGTGGACCAGTAGGATCTGCGTGATTATGTAGTGCAGAAAAGCAAACAAGAAGAGCAAGCTGTGCAATGCTATATGTTTATTCAGAAGTAAACCTGAATTTCAGCATGATGTTCGTCCTCAAAGGATCTGCCACCCTTTTCCCTTCTTTCCTTCTTCCCAAACTCAGGATGGGATTTATGAAAATTAGATCTGATGTGGTTTCACTGGCAGGATTTCAGCATAGTTTTCAAAGCATCACCCACAAGGAAGGCATTTGGCTGTGAAGATCAGAAACCATTGCTTATGTCTGATTATATTGTGCTTTTTATAGAGATCACTGCACTGCATATGTTACCTAGCTGCTTTGCATTTTTCAGGTCACAACAGAACAATTTAATGTTTACCTACTGCTATCAGACAAAAATAATTCCATGACATAAAATGGAGCAAGGATTTTGTGTGATAGCAGGTTTAGACAATATAGCATCAGCACACTATTCAACTTTTAGCCGCTCACAACTTAAACTTTACAATGGCATTTCTGTACATCTCTTTCTCTCTCTGTATGTTTTGTAGGCATGCATGCATGTTCTCCTTCTGCATTTTGTTTATTGCAGTCAGTATACGAGTTGCAATAAGCTATTTACTGATTTATTCTTATTATTTGGCCTTTATGTTTTAAACAGAACGAACTGCTTTTTATTAGTTTTTATAAGCATACTTTCTGGCTGGTCTTTGCCTGTAATAAAGTATTTTCTACCTATTGGGTTGAATGGAACTTGTTCCCAGGTAAATATATCGATTTATGTCAATCAGCCTCCTAAGCCCTATGGAGTTTTATCTGTGTTGACGTTTCAGAATTGCCCTTTAAATGGTGCATTCAATTGCTGCAGCATGATTTTGAATGGAATGACTTATTGACTGCTAATCGATGCTTTTGGCATCAACATGAACCAGAGAGTCTCATTGCTGCTTGTTTCCTAATCATACCACACTTACCTCTTCTTGCTGCACTTTTCAATTTGTTGCTGATAATGTTCATTTTCCCCTTAAACTATAGCACAGCATATTGTGATAGCCATTGTTGAGAAGCTCATAATATGTGCTGAGGCCACGTGAGCAGAAAGAAATTGGTTTTCATGTATATTCATATATAAGTGGCTACCATTTAAAGGGAATCTCTGCTGAGAAATGAAAAGCTGTGATTCAGTGCAAGTTCAGGAACAATTTCACTATTTCTTTTGACTGTTAATTTTTAAAGATTCACCCTACTTCTTCTTTTTTTCCTTTCCTATACAGACGAATGATATTGTCTACTATAATGCAAAAGAAGACCTGAATGATGTAAGTAACATTTTGGAAAATAAAGATAATCAAACTCTAACCCTAACTCATTTAAGACTAAGATTTTCATTTTACTCCCTTTGGAGAAGACCAAAAAAAAAAAAAAAAAGGCTCAAAATAAACCTATTAAAATGCCCTGTGAAAAGAGAGTGTTTAAAGTTATGTTGCCTGAGAAACAATCACAAAACGTTCCTAGTGACTTCCTAGCAGAATTTCTTGAAAGATTTGCATTCTGTGGTTTATAACCTTTAGGTGACCGTGAACAAAACCAGGTTCTTCAGAGGGTGGTTAAGAAATCAGTAGAGCCAGATACATCTGAAGCAGCCTATAAGCCTGAGAAATAAATAAATTTAACAAAATAAACCATGCATATTGCAAAGAAGCCATGTGTTTGGTGTAGCTTCTTTTCTGTTATATCTGGAATAGCTGTTTGCTTCTTAAACTGCTCCACTGGGAATGGTTCTTTTAATAGTGGGTTACACTTTTAATTATGCAAATAAATAGATTCCAGTGTGAACCAGACTTTCTGCATGTGTATTATCTCTGTGTTTGGTTGACCCCCAGGGGGAAAGCTTTGCAAAAAAAAAAAGGAACAAAAACAGAATTTCTTTGAGTATTAATCCTAATCCAGATGTAATTAGGTGGTATATAAAATGTCTTGTTGGAGAACATTCTGACCATGAACGTTCAGAAGAGACTGATTGCAAGGTTAGAAATACTATTATGGGTAATTTTTGCATAACAGTAGAAGGAGGTCACAGTGCAGCTGGTTGTTAGAAAGGTTTATGATTCTTTAATCTAGAAAAAAAACTGAATCTATGCTTCATGTATGATGTATGCAGCCCTCCACACTTAAGATCAATTCATGCATTTTCTGTCCTGCAGTGAGGACGGAGAAAATTGCTCTTTCAGTCAGATCAGACTGTTAGGGCAGTCCATAG